CTACTACTGCTATTGCTTGATATCTGTTGATGCTGTGCAACGAAGCTGTTCATTCACATTGTACTTTGTTGTTGGCGCCACTGTTCGAATTCAATGCATTGCAGTGGCTAATCTTTAAATGAATGTATTCATATGTGCAGATCTTTGGCTTTTGATCAATATGCACTGCTTTATTGCCATACATGCAGTTGAATCGATTTACTCGAAAAGAAAAAAACGAATTAATTTTACGCGGTTTTTGGTGACGTTTGGTTGAAAAAAGGCTTTATAAAAATTCCTATTGAAACTGTTCCCATGGATGGATTTTAATGTGTGCGCTGTTGCTTATGTAATGAATACTATTTGATTTTTTTACTTTTCCGTAAATGCATTTTGTTAGGAAAAGTATTGGGCTTTTCTATACGGAAGCGAATACAACAGCAAATACAACTTATATTTGGTTTGTCGTTTCGCTAATTCAGCTAAATTTAACATTGTGCCTAGGGGGAAAGATCAATTTTTTTTCCTCTGAATAAGCCTCAATATAACAAATAATGATAATTTGTAACGATTCTATGACCTCTTACAAATATTTAACCGATATTTGAATATTTCGCCGATATACCAATATTTCGTACTAAAATTGGTAGAGATATTTAGGTGAAGCGCGTTTAAGCTATTGCTCAAGTATCGCGTACTTAAGCCATTGCTCGAGTAAGCGTACTTAAGTACTTATTTATCAGTAGACTTATCATGTCATTTATTTATAGACCAGTACTACGGCAATTAAGTACTATCTTAAGTACGTGGCACTTAAACTTTATCAAGTGTCATGAAGTAAACATAATTTCGTAAGACAATTCATATGTGATTGTTCATAGCTAGGTTTATAGAAAATAATAATTAAAAATAAATGTAGATTCTGGTTTCTATTAATTTTTTATTTCATGCATAATCAGTTTTCAAAGATTCGTTTGATATAAGAAGCAGATACAGGTAGAAGTATAGCGTTAGGTACAGCGCTTTAACCAAAAGTACGTGGCACTTAAACGTGAATTTAAACGAATTCGCTGATGTATTGTTATTTTTCAAAAATAAGCGTTTATCTGCATATTGGCAGATATCGGCGTACATCGGTCTCTATTGTTCTATATTTTTATGTTGAGTTCACATTAAATGTACACGATTGACATGAATATTCAATTTATTTGACCAATTCACACCAATATACCAATGAATAACGATGAATAGCCAATAACATAGATAATAGCGTACGACGAAATCTTTCCCCCTAGCATTGTGCCATTTTTCGTTTTTTAAGGTAAAAAAAAACTGTGTTTTTGACAAAGAAAAATCTTATGACAGTTAGCTCGGAATTATTCTATACATTGTTGTGTAGGGGTTCATTAGATGATGCACAAATATATTTGTTGTTGTACTGAAGCGTTAGATACATTGTCAGTTCATCAGGGGAACGACTTTATGTAGATGGCTTATTGGTAGTATTTTCTGACAGCTGTTACATTGTATATATTAATATACGATACTATTGCCCACTGGAAGCGCGAGCAAAAAAGTTTGGATTACGTATGTAATTTATTTTATTTTCCATTTGCCTTCAAATGGATTGAAAATTTAGAGCTTTAGTGTAATTTTTCAATTTTGATGTTGCATTTCCAATTTTGGTTGGACCCAGAATTATGGACGACTTTTATGTGTTAATTATTTTTCTTCAGAAAAAATGAAACCAAGATGAGTCGTGATCATTGAAACGATATTGATGATGACTCAAATGTCATGTATGTGATTGACGTGTGAATTCATTACCCAAAAATAAACCTCAAGATGTGAATCACTGTTATGCGATCATTGTCTACCGACCACATTTTACATGTCAACGTTTTCGTGATTCAATTTTTCTTCAGAGTGTCGGTTTTTTTGTCCTTCTCTTGACATGTTTTTACTCGATGCGGGTTGATCACGTATTCGATCCGGGATGGTCATCGATTATTGTCCACCTTGCATCAACTCCAAGCCAATGCAACAATGCTCACGAATGCAACAATTATTTGGTAAACCACGTATGAACATTTCATTTAAACTAATTGCACACGCGCGAAATTTATTTTAATCGCATCAAAAATCTTATGAAACGTGATTTCATGTTTTCATTTAATCTTGCATTTATGTGAATAAATCGCAATTCTGTCTTGTTTCTACATAGATTGGAGAAAAATTAAAACCCACAGAAAAATGATTGCTGTTTTTCAATTTTTACCGCATGGATTCGAATAGTTGTTTTTATATATGTAAAAAAACGACATGAGTAAAGTCAAGAAATATGATCTATTTAGAACATATACACAGGAAATAAAACCTTGGAATAAAGTATCTGAATGACAACAACGCACAGTGATATATACCAATTCATTATTCGAAATGTGCGATGGCGAACAAAACAAAACTAAAAATGAAGAAGAGAGATGGATGACTATTACTTCGTTTATTATCTAATTCGACACATAATAAATAATCCACAGGAATAATATAACATTCAGACATAGTCGTTGTTTTGAAATGGTTGACGAAGTGTAACGCTCAGCGTTACTGATATCAGCCAGAAATCATTTCATGTGCCGACTAATTGCATCTCATTCGAAAACAATCTTTTTTTAAAAAGCCAATGCAATGTGCTATGCGTCGGTAAGTAGAAAATAAAAATCAACGATAAAAACACCAGAAAATTGTTAAACCAATCATTTAGCACATATGTAATGAACAAATAAACAATAGTGAAAAGCGGCATTGCCGGAAAATTGGTCATTGTCAATATCAGCTGTTTACACCAAGTTGGTTTAGAGTAATGTACTTGAGATATTGTTTGCAATGAAAATTTTTATTACTGCATCAGAAAAAAGGTAAAATGCAAGAATCTTCAGTTCAGTACTCTAAGCTACTGTCGATGAGCTGGTGAAAGGAGAGACGAAATGTATGTTTGGATAGATTTCCCACAAAAATGCATTTAATTTAAACCATCCACTAAAATTAAATCGATGAAATACATTGCGGAAAAATGTATTGTAAGCGTCTTCCGAGGCGCAATTCATTTCGAAACTATAGATTTACAGGCATTAACATACTAATGTTATTAATTATTAACATATTATTAACGGGGCGTTAATAACTCAAACATAACATATTATTAGATTAATAAGATTCTACGATATTATTAACATATTATCTTATTATTAATAAGATCGCCATTTTATTAAAAAGTTAATAAGATTCATCTTATTAAAATGTTAATAAGAAAATCGGATTTTATTAACCAATTTTTTTCTTCACATATTTTTTCAAAACTTCATACTAAAACATATCAAATATCGTTAGACGACGAAATCTTGAAGAAAAATACATCTGACAATATTTGACATGTTTTTAGTATGAAGTTTTGAAAAAATTTGTGAAGAAAAATTCAACATTTGGACCGAAAAAAATTGGTTAATAAAATCCGATTTTCTTATTAATATTTTAATAAGATTATCTTATTAATAATTAATAAGATGGATCTTATTAACTTTTTAATAAAATGGCGATCTTATTAATAATAAGATAATATGTTGATAATATGGTAGAATCTTATTAATCTAATAATATGTTATGTTTGAGTTATTAGAAATCTTCCAATATTTTGGTTATTAACATATTAATAACATATCGAAAATGTAAAACTATATTCGAAACTTCATTTTTTTACGGGAGTTTTATTAAAACTTTCTCAAATCTAACTTATTCTCCCAATCGTTCATACAGTTTAAATTATTTTCAAAAACAATCTGTTGTGACTCATTCTTTTACGTCCTATAACTCGAACTGAGGATTTGTCAAGAATTTCATAAAATTATCATTGATTTCGGGCAAAGAAATAACATTGCTGAACATCGCAACTCAAAATAATCAATCGATCTTGTAAGACAAAATATCTTCTACATGGATAAAATATCGCCAGACCAATTTTCGCTATTCATTTTGCAAAAGATGATCGGCAATACAAGTGCTTCGATTTCCAGCGATTGTAGGTTTCTCGGTGTGTGAATCATGTATTCAAAAGCATCAAACATGTGGTTCGATTGAAAAATGGGCCCAAAATCCGCTTTTGATTTTTCCCAACAGAAACTGTATGTAATTTGATCACAAAAAGATTTTATTCTCAGACTATGCTGTGCAAGCGAACATGAACAATGTTTTTTTTTTCCAAATGAAATATACTTGCAACGCTTTCTTGGCAAATCGCATTTATGTCGCAGAGAACATATGTGTTCAATATATTTATTTACTTGATTTGGATGGATTGTATTTTTTTTTTTTTGCTAAATCAAAGCGATTCGCGTATTTTGTATTAAAAGTAAAAATACATTTCAGTAGTCAAGGCGAACATTTGTTCACAACGCTCAAAACAAAAAAATACACCAAAAATATGCTTTTATATTATGAATCATCATTAGATGTTGTTGTGTACTACTTGTGTCTGAATCGTTTCAATTACAATTTTTGTTTGTGCATTGAAGCCAACATGTTCTGATTGTCAATTGCTTGGATGTCAATATGGTTGGTTATACATTTGTAAATGACTTCAAAGCGTTTTAACTACGAGGGAAAAAAATTACCCTTGATCTATTGGCTCGGTTAGGACCACACGTGTGCAGGGGGGGTATTCCGGTTTTATCCCCTCTAGGATTCCAAAATGTTGACCCCCCCCCCAAGCGATTTGGAAAATTTGACACTAAATAGAATCGATTTTCAGAAGTGAGGACCTTTTTTTTAGGTCTTCATTTTTTTCACACCCATTTATAAATATGCAGACCACCAATGGTGGTCCACCATTCATAAATTTGACCCCCCCTGGCAAAATCATTTTACCCCCCCCTAGAATTTTTGACCTTGCACACGTCTGGTTAGGACCAAAACACATCATTGATTCTCTATATAATCCGAATGGAATTGCTAAACTCTTTACTTACCTTTAGAAAATCGCGCAGCCACACTACTTCTACTTTTTGATCAGAATCAGCTAGTATCTCGCAATCAATCATCACCGTGTCTCCTTCAAATGCTTCGAACGATCGTGGTTTTTTTATGAACATCGGTTCTTTCGAGTATGGCATTATATTTGGTTCGCAAATGCTTGGAATGATCATACTATCACAAGTGTCAATAGTTACATTGCACGTACTCTCCGCCTTTCCAACGACATTAGTTGCGACGCAACGATAGGCACCAGCATCGTCGAATGTCGCATTCGATATGACTAATTCCACAAATCCATCGTCGTCGAGCGTAGGCACAATCCGACGGCTTGGTCGTATTTTCGCCCCATTTCGATACCAATTTACACCTTCAAATTACAAAGATAGTCTTGAAGTAGTAGTGTGCGTGTATGCACATAAACATACAATATCACATGTGTTAAGTGCAATTTCAACTTACCAACTGTTGGATATGCTTCGATTTGTGCACACAATCTGATTTCATGTCCATATTTGACATTGTAATCTGGTTCTAGGGAGCCTAAGAATTCCGGGGCGATATAAGCTCGAATGCCCTTATCAACGATCAAACTACAGTGACAAGATATTTGCCCATGTTCATTCGTTGCGGTTGCCGTATAAGTTCCACTATCGTCAAGAGTTGCACGCATTATTTCCAAGGTACTAAATGTGTCTTCATTCAAAATTACGTATCGCTCTGAAATAAAGTGAATTTTTCCAAATTGTTTTCTTCTTTCTTGGCGCTATCTACATTAGCATGACAAAACTTACCGCTAGTTGTAAGCTGTTGGTTATCCTTAAACCACGTGATTTCAGGCACAGGTAATCCAACCTACAGATTTCATAACAATTATATTCACTATAGTAATAAAATACCCGTTATGTAGCCAGTAATGGACCTCAATAGTAGTAGAACTATAGTAACAACAAAGTGCGCAGTAAACAGTGTTGTACAAAGACAAAATTTAGATAGATAAGAAAAGATGATATCTTTATCTTATATCATCTATCTTGATATCTTATCTGAATACTTTTTTCGTTATCTATCTCCAATTTTTTAGATAATTTCGAAGATAATTCGATTTTCTCATAGAAAAATATCAAAGATAACTAAAAGATAATTGGAAAAAAATATCTTATCTTTTATTGGAAAGATAAGATATTATCTCATCTTCATCGAAATTATTTTTATCATTTTTCACAAATATCTTTTCTTTATCTAAATAATTTTCAAGTCCTTTTGTACAACACTGGCTGTAAATGGAAAATATTCAGCAATGAATGCTCTAACGGCATCTATACGGTATAGTTTGGAAGTATAAGTAAATGCTTCCGTCATAAGGTTTACCCAAATGTTGGAAATGGCATTTGTCAGAAATTACATTTTAAACGTCATTCATGAATCAAGTCAGTGATCTTTCGATAGTGACAAAAGCAATGCAAACTGAACTCTGAACGGTTTCGGATTTGCTGAATAATATATTATCATTGCGCTTCACTGTGTTGTATAGTGATATTATTGGCGATATGAATGCAATTTTTTTCTGTAGATACTAATAGATATGGTCATTAGAATGTTATCGGTTTAACAAGTAACAAGATTCATGACACTGGACCAGAACAGATCTGTTTCACAAGATTCCATTCCATTTCAGCCAATTTCCAATTGATCATCGTAAAATTTGACTTTTATCACTATTATATTTGATTATATAGTACTAAAAACCATTTTAATATCAATACCGATAATTAAAAAAAAACTTCATTACTACTACCAATTCTATTACTATAGATATATTAATGTTCCAAGTTGATTACTACTGGTCCGTTACGGTGATAAACTGTTAAAATTTGAGAAAAAAAACTCCGAAAAAATAAAACTGTAAACAAACCGCTTGACAGCTCAATCGCACTGGATATGAACTTTGTATGCGTCGATCACGCAGTCTCATTGCAAATTGTGGTAAGGTATCTTCCGTAATATCCTATTAGAAATCGATCGTTAGTTGGATTGAGTCAATTTACATTACACGTGCTTTTCACATTCACTGAACTTAATTCAATCTTACCGTTTCACCATTAATCCTTTGCTTTAGCTTATTGTCCACTTCATAAATTCTATAGTTGGCCACAGCTTGCAGTCGGGCAAATGTCGAAACTCGACCTTGAGTGTTGGTCGCCTCGCAAGTGTATCGACCCGAATCACTTGATTGCACATCTCGTATTTCTAAGCGACACGTTGATGTGCCCAAGATTCTCATTGTGATTCGTTCATCATTCTGATCCAGGGGTATTTCGTCTTTGTACCATACAATGTGAGGTTTTGGTTTGCCTTTATAAATGCATTCTAAAAAGAAAAAGTCTTGGCCCAATAGTACTTTTATTTGTCCTGGTAGAATTTTTGTGAATTCTGGTAGTGTAGCAAATGCTCCGACCGTAATTGGACTTGACGTTTGTACTGAATGGCCCCAGCCATAGCGGTTCCGTGGAGTGACTCGGAAATGGTATTGTGCACCCGCTTTCAAATTGAATGCATCAAAGCAATTTATTGGTGTAATGCCAAGCTCTTGCCATCGTGCGCCACCTATTATTTACAAATCACAATAATGTTCGCATAGAAAAAACACAACCTCCATCATCGCAAATGGGTATAAACCACCATGAATGCATTGTTTATCGCATTTGCCATGATTTTAATGGTAAAAAATATTATTATTTGAAAGAAAAAACAATACCTTCAGCGCCTATCAACCAAGCTTCAACGCGGTAAGCAATAACGGGTGCAGCATCAACATTAATTGGTTTTTGCCACGATATAGATAAATGCGTCTTACCATTGTCGATTACTATTGGTTCAGATGATATTGCAGCCGGTGGATCTATCCAAAGATGAATTTAATCAAATGTTCAAATTAATTAAATTTACACAATTATTCTTTTGATATTATTCGCGAATAACAAGCGTGACTTCAAAACGTCACTGTTATGGAAACGCCATCGCAACAGGTACACTCCGTGACTGTGTTTGGCGTTTACATTTTAGATTACAACAACAAAATATTAACGCTTCATGTGGTTTGGTTAGGGTCTACAAACGTTTCGACAAATACCGCAAACGGTGATAAAAAAAACGTTATTTTTCTGTATTGTTTTATTTTGACACTTCGAAATACCGCAGAAATAACGAGAAAAAACGAAAATAACGTTTTTGGGCGTTATTAAACGGCTCTGTAAAATAACGTTTTTTCGAAACACTGAAAAATATAACGCGTTTTTAAACCCTAGGTTCGGTACACTGTATAGAGGATACCAGAGCAAATCAGCAGCAAATCTGCCTGTTGCGATGGTACGGTGATGACATTCAAGCGAGTAAAGCACGAGGAACACAAAGTCACGGTGAACAGAGGCTTTTTTACCCTTGAGCGAAGTTGTGCAATTCACAAGGGCACCAACGCTAGAAGGCGCCCCTGGGGCACTGCAGACCCCGAAATTGAATAATGATTAAAGTTCAATTTCGAACAAGAAGCCAAACAGAGAGCGCCCATTTGAGAATATCATTTATTGAAATTTGAATTGAGCGCTGAACAGAGAGATCCCCTAGTTTTTAAGTTGACTTTCTTTCATTCCTTTGGGTTTTCCAATTGTCCCCCTCTAGCGTTTCCAAAATGGAAACCTCTCCAGCTTTTTGTGTAACAAAATTTTTTCTGGGGGCGCACAGAGGAGTGGAAAGAGCCACTGCTGTAAAGAAAATACTTCACGATATACGGGTAAGATTTTGACTCAAATTTAGCGATGTCCGTTTTATGGATGAAAAAATCACTCAATATAGTGCCAAAGATTTGTGCTGTGCATAAAATTCCATTGAATTCTTATATGTTAGACATATTGACCTGCTCAGGACAAATTTTTTCCTGTAAAGTATATTTTCATTTAACCAATACATGCATATCCGTCTCTGTTTTTGTTTTCATTGAAGAACTCCGGAGAACCAATCGCATTTATTTATTCAAAAATTTTATAAATTATGAACGTTTCGTGTAAATACAAGAGCGCAACTTACAAAGCTAAAAGGAGGATGTGAGTAAAAAGAAATTATAAAATACAGCATAAATGTTATTCATAATAAGCAGTAGCATGGATTGACTGTGGTAATAATTTGGCAAACCCAAAGTAATTTTATATTGATCAGACGATCCTTTAAATAAAATAATAAAAATAAACAATCCACTCTAGTTACATGTGAGCCTAAGGAAGAGAAAGCGGAAGACAAATAAAGAAAAAGCCTTTATAAAAATGGACGTGTCAAATGAAGTTAGAAATAAAGGTGCATGTATGGATTAAAAAGATGACTATTCTATCAATAGTTTAATGGATGCAGTGTCAATTGTATTTAGATTGTTCTTTAACTTACTTTTGAGATATGAAGAGACATCCGAGTATTCATCGCTAACGTTTAACCAATTTGATCTCACTGGTATAACAGATCGAGCCCTTTCTTTAACCTATTGATAATATAAATCATGTTTAAGATTGTTTACTTTTCTCCATTCCACTTGCTTCAACCAGAAATATTTTTCAAGAGAACCGCAATTTTTTTCCGGCCATTTGAATACAAACGTTAGAAAGATAAAGCGTGTGAACTTCATTCGCAACTATATTATTGTGGATATGAAACTTCAGTGGACCTTTGAAAGAAAGCAACTTCAGAAAAACAATTTTTCTTCAAATTTTAATGCGATGAATTTGATTTTTGGCGCATCTCATTTGGCACTTTGTGATCAATATGCTTTGCCATACTATTTACGTTTTGTTAATGTCTCGTTTAGCTGCAATAATCTTTTTATTTTTCCCTTAAAAAATATGGTTAAATTAAACATGAAACTGTAATAATTAGGATTCGTTTTGTGTGCATTCGTGTTAAATGAAAAAAAAAACCATTTGATTTTTTTGATTAAAACCGTCAATGAATTCGCAAAGTCAGAGTTGAGACGGGGTTTAATATCGAAGGACCACGCAATTTGATTAGAAGGTTTGGTTACTTCTTTTGTTTTGGTGACTTTACCGTTATGGTGACAAATGCACGATCAGTTCCATGTTGATTTCGAGCTACAATGCAGTAGGTGCCCGAGTCGTTTGGTTTTGAATTTTGCACACTGAATCGAATGAAATCGTCATGAGCCTCCTTTAATGTGCGATCATTTTGCGTAATGTCACGTATTCCTTTCAAGAGAATCACTATCCAATTGATAAATAAATAAATGTTCAGTTGTTGATCTTATTTTTGTTAAATGTCTACAACGTATAGACGTCTAGATAAATTAGTTGATTTGCTTACATTTTGGTTTTGGATCTCCGATAAGTCGGAACGAGAATGAGAATGGATCGCCCGTTTGAATTTTCATTTCATTGTCTGGTCGTGATAAGAACAATGGACATTTGCCACCTTTAACTGACGGTCCAACAATGTGAACATGAGCCTGTAATTCCGTTTTTCCAAAGGCATTTATCGCTTGACACGTATATGTGCCCGACTGTTCCTTATTCGCCTCGGATATGATCAGAGTATAAATACCATGGTCGTATATGCTGCGTACTTTTTCACCCAAAACAATTGGTACTTTTTCACACAGCCAACGTACTTCGGATGGTTCATTGATGATTTCAGCCTGCAACGCGATTGTACCACCAGCTGTGACCAAGTGATTGCCCAATTGATTTTGGAATTGTGGTTTATTTGGATCACGATGGAAGTAGCCGTGTGTTTTTTCGTTGATATAGGAATTTTTTCCATCGAATACGACATTATGTGACGTACTGTCACTTCCTGCCGAATTTTCAGCTTTGCACACATACAAGCCACTATCCTTTTCGTCGGGAGTGTAAATTACGAGACGGCACACACCATCAGGCTGATCAATTTGTTGATATTTATCGTTCAAATCGATGAAATTACCATCTTTGGTCCATGTAATCGTTGGTTGAGGCTCTCCACGTACACGGCACTCCACCACCAGCTCATTTGCAATTAGATTATACGTGTCTAGAGAGTGAATCATTTGAAAATAATGTGTAAGAAATATTTGTCCCAAAAAGTGTTGTAAATCATCACTTTTCTAACACATTGATATTACAAACATAAAAACAAATAGAAAAACTTCGACAGAATTTAAATCCTACGGAACTAAAAAATTATTATTACTTCAGGTGAAAAATTGAATAAAATCCAAGCTTTAGCATTGACTTTAAATGAATAGAGTGGTAGAATGGGAAGCTAACTATCGTTTACCTTTAATTGTTTTCGAAAAGTATGGGAAAGGTGAACGTTGCCGCGAATCACGCGAAAAATTTATTCGCGATGGGTAAGAGCTCTCACGGAAATAACTCTTGCGAGAACGTGCATACTCATCATTGAATGACCGCATTGATACACTGCGTTCCCGACGGAGTCTATCTTCAATGCCCCATTTATTTTTCAACCAACGCACATACATGTCTGGATTTAAGATATGACTGGCCAACTCAGAACTGTCGGCGAAGCTTCGAGTTGAAAAGCTTTCATGTAAAAACGGCCGTAGTGGTTCGTTACTTATTCGTGACGGAATAGTTCGTATATCAGAAAGTGATTTGGAAAATGTGGTCGTTGATAGAAAATCTTTGGACGAATATTGTGGGACAGTAGTAAACGGCGATCTTGCGCCAGGTGTGTAAGATCGAACACTACCTAGCGTATAATAGTCACGATCATCAAGTCGATTCGCACTGCAACTTCGGTATGCCTTGTAGGCATTTCGTACACGGAAACGGCTTCGATTGTTTATTTGTACAGGAGTTCGAGGTATAACATGGTGATTATGATGGCTATGATGCCGTAAATATGAATTCACATATGATGATTGGATACTTGTCAGACTATTTCGTAAATTACTACTAGACCCGAGATTGTTTGCACTACGGGATAACGAACGAACACTTCGGAAATCAGTTCTGGGATCATCGGAATGGCTCAGAATTGTCAAATGGGTAACACGATTTAATTGGCCGTGATATGATTTCGATCGATATGGCATCGTTATGGGTAAATTATCCCGAATTGTAATTGAGGATGTGTCACGAATCGGCAAATATGTTTCACGATGAGACGTTTTAAATTCACGACGCAATGGACTTCGTGCTCGGCTACTACGAATAAGTCGTTCAAACGAATGGTCCAAATGCTTTGATGATGTATCTAAGAAAAATGCGTATTTCATGTGAATAAAAAAATGGATCGTTTAATTATAAATTGAATTGAATTGAATTGCCTTTTCAATATAATATGATCCACTTCATTTTTGCCTATGAAAATGGAAAATGGAATATGATGGGTTACCTTTTGGTATGAATTCAGTTAGTGATGATGGCATCGGCGGGCGATCGTATGTGAGTGATTTTTTGCGTGATTTATATGCTTCATAAACGGTCAATTTTGAGCTGGATGTAACACTATTTCGACGGCCATTTATTGTACACGTGTAGAAACCGGAATCACTCGGGACAACATCTTGAATTTCCAATCCAACTGTTGCATCTGAGATGGTAAATCGATACCGGGAACATCCATGCGCTGTGATTCAGTGATTTGAATATGATTAATGGAAATCATTTGTTAAAAATGCATTTTCATCCCGGACTAGATAGATTCGATTTTCATCCAGGCTGGACAAAGTTTGTTGTTATATTCATGGCGTTGTTTGTGAAATTGTCCAGACTAGTTTGAAAATCGTACTATCCACCTTGATACCTACAATCCAATTCATTTTGCAAACGAACATCATCCTTGAACCATTCAACTGTATCCACTTGTCCAATGATACTGCACACGAATTTCGCACGATTACCTTCCTCAACTGTAAGGTTTTTCATAAATGAAGCCAAAGCCACAGGTGGTGCATGTTTTTCACCATGCTCGCGTGTTAAATGCTTTTGGGTAGCACGTTCCGGACATTGACGATGCTTTCGCCGCTCTTCTGGGACTGGAGATACAATCGATGGTTTCACGCTAACATTCTGTAACACCGAGCATATTGGTTGGCCAAGCAATCCGATTTCACACTTGTATTCACCAGAATCAGTCTCATTGGGGTTTGCAATTGACAAACGAATCAAACCATTTTGTTGAATCATCGAGTATCTTCCACTCGACACATGATCGATGAGAATACCATTTTTGAACCATTTTATCGACGATGAACTTATGTATTGTGAACTATTGGCCTGACACTCGAGAGTGAGTTGGTTCGAATGTGATGCAAATGATTCTGAATGGATTGTGAGAAATGGGTTTATTATATTTGAAAAAGAAGAAAAATCGTAGAATCACGGCTCCAAATGTGGAATTACGCGCAACACCTCGTACTACAACCGACATATCATAGTAGATGCATACCTAATATCATACTTTTCATCAGAATTTAATAACTTGTTTAGTAGAAAATAAAATCGTCCACAAAAAGCTTGCTGTTACATGCGGTTGGGATTAGACACACAGACTACAAATTTCGTCTTACCTCAAATCTGGTGAAAACATAAAATGATTTACAAATGGTTTCCTCAATAATCCTGAAACTCATACCTTTGATCGAATTGGTAAACAGTGGAACTGTAGCAGTTGGTGTAATAGTTTCATAAACGTTTAGTGTACACGACGAAGTGATTTCGCTTGCTGGATTGCGAACCAAAATACGATAATCGCCGGCATCTTCTACCACTGCACTTTGAATCATTAAAGTCAATAAACCGTCTCTTGCTTCGACGCGAACTCGAGGACTCATCACCAAAGGATTTTCGTCTACAATATAATTATATACAGGCAATGGATCAATTGTTTTTATTACTATGTTCAAGTTTTCATTCCGAAGGAGATTTTACCTTTAAACCAACGGGCTTGAGGATCGGGCCCACCAACCCAGCAAGATATTTTGGTTTTTCCTCCAACTGGAATAGTGCGATCGTTCAGGAAAGCAATGAAATGTAGATGTTGCTTTGGATCGGGTGGAGCAACAGGTCCATAACGTCTTCCACCTCCAGATGGTGCAGCTTCCTTCTTTTGACGTGGCTGACCTTTGCCCTTGCCAGCGGCTGATTTATCATCAGCCTCCTCAGGTACTGGAGTTGGTGGTGACTCTTTGATTGAAGACAGGCTCGAAACGCTCGAACGTTGTTCACGAATTGTAATTTGAACGATGTGCGATGTTTCCGTTTTTCCGGCACGGTTTTCAGCAATACATCCATATTTTCCATTCTGAATATAAATGAAATCAAATTGAATGACGATATTACATTCAAACGCATGTTTGAAACAAAAGTAATTGGCGAAAAAATCAATTTACATCTTGTTTGGTAGCATCACTGATATTCAATTCACAAAGTCCGTCATCATGTTCAATCAACTGATACTTATCGCTTGGTTCGATAGTGATACCATCTTTAGACCATGTAATTGATGCCTTTGGAATTGCACGAACGTGGCAAGTGATGTTAATTTCGTTTATCTTTGAATTGTATGTTTCCTTCACTGATCGTGTAAATGTTGGACTCAAATCGGCCGAATCACCGCTGCTGAACACCTCAAGTGTGCAGCTGGTCGATGTTTCGCCCGAAGTGTTTCGTGCCCAACACTTGTATTCACCAGAGTCATCAATGGCGGCAGTTGTAAATTCCAAAGAACACAATCCGTTCAGTTGATTTTGGCGTAATTTTGGTGAGTATACTACTGGTTGATCGTCCTTGAACCATCTTATTGACGGATCAGCACCCTCCAAATAGCAAGTGAGCTTAACTTTTGAACCAGCTGCAACAACACGATTCGACAATTTAGTTGGGAAATTGATGCCAATACGAGATTCACGTGGCTCCTTTTTGGCTGGTGGTGCTGGGGCCGAAGCAGCTGGTGCTGAAGGAGTTTCAGGACGAGATGGTGTTTTTTTTTGTCCTTTGCCACCCTTCTTGCCCTTTTCCTCTTCAGCTGCACCAGATTCCACTGATTCATCGGTCAAACCATGATGGGCCTCAGATTTGGCACGATCAACACGACTATGGTCGGCATGGTAAACCCCATGAATATTTTCAGCGATATGATGTTCCTTTCCTTCAAATAGCACATAATGACCGATCTCCGTTGTTCCGCATTTATTCATGGCTTTGCACACATATTTCCCACTAAATCACAAAAAAAAAACAATTTGCTTATTCTGCTTTAGATTATTGACAATTTTCCACATGCATTTACCTATCGTTCTGATTCGGGAAGTTGACAATCATTTCACACAATCCATCAGGATGATCAACTATCTGATATTTTGGATTATCGCGTGAAATATCTACACTATCCTTGAACCATTCAACTTTCGCCGGTGGATTTCCCCGAACATGTGTTTCCAAATACAATTCGTTGATATTCAAATGATAGGTGTCTGCAACCAATGAAATGATACAAAAAATAATTTGAAAAAAGTGCAATGAAAGCTGCGTAAAAATAGAATAGCATTGACTATGATTTGTTTACTGTTCAATCGCTCTTCTTTGAAAGTGAAAAAGTGAAAAAAGACAAACTCATATATCCCATTATATAGTTACTCACCTTTTAAGGATCTAGTGAAGGTTGGTGCAAATTCAGCTGTTGACTTAGTTTCATAGACTTGAACATTGCAGCTGCACGAAATATCACTTTCTTGGTTACGCGCGATGCACGTATAAACGCCTGAATCGTCCAAATTAGAAGTGGCAATTTCGAGAACGCATAATCCTTCCTTGCTCAAGTTTCGAACGCGTGGACTATAAACAATTGGCTGATCATTGAACAACCAACGAATATTTGGATCAGGCCCTTGCACCACACACGATAACTTGATCTTAGTACCCTCTGGGAATACGCGATTTGTCAAATGTGTTACAAATGATAATTTCATGCGACTTGCTTTCAATAGTTCCTCAATAGTTGGTGCGGCCGGACGACGTCTCTCATAATTTTCAGCTTTCTTCTCAGATGGTGGCAGTTTTCTAGCACCTTTTCCTTTGGCAGCTTTATCGTCTTTCTTTTCATCGCCCTTTTCATCTTTCTCTGTGTCGCTTTCAGCTACGGACGAAGCCATTCCCGAGTCACGTCTGCTACCTGGCAACGATGGATGCGTTGTGTACTCCACTTGATGTGAAGTCGTTGATGTACCAATATTATTTGTAGCTGTGCACGTATACTTGCCGCTGTCTTTCGGTGTCGGTTTGTTAATGATCAGTTCGCAAATGCCGTCTAAATGTTCGACCTGTTGCATTCGTTCGTCAAATTCGATCGGCAATTCGTCTTTCGTCCACACAATCAATGGCCTTGGATTGCCACGAACTTTGCAATCGATAACTAGATCTTTTTCAGGGCCGTGATACACATCTAAAAATAGGATAAAATTAGGTGAAAATCATCGAATGATGTCTGATTGAAATGAGTTTTGGCAACAATATCGACAATATTTCTAATCTTACCCCGCATCGAAAGCACAAATAATGGCGCTTCTTTATCACCTTCTGATTTTGCATCGTACACCTTCAGATAACACTGAGTGGTTACTTCGGAAAAATTGTTTCGTGCGACACACTTGTATTCGCCCGTATGATCGGTCGTCAAATTGATGATCTCCACAACACTCATACCTTCGGCCGTCGCAATACGCATATTCGGGCCATATTGTAATCCGTTTCCATCCTTAAGCCAACGAATATTTGGATCCGGTCCAATAACTGACACAGTGAACTTCACTTTGTTGCCAATTAATGCGGTACGGTCTCGCAATTGTGAAGCGAATTTTAAACGATCTTTTTGTGGTACATTTGGTGTATCATCTCGTTTGACGATTGGCGGCAACTTGCCGACTCGCCTCAATTCATATTCCTCTTTGGCTTTCAACGCGTCTTCCATCGCACGTTTCGCCTGTTCTTCCTTCTCCTTTTGATACTCAGTGTGGGCATGATGCAAACCATGAAGATGGAAATGAGTTGGTTTTCCGATGAATTGCACTTCATGCTCGATCACAGCCTCGCCAACAGAATTGGTCGCTGTACAAATATACTTTCCGCTATCTTTGGCCGCTGGTTTGTATACTTCTAATTTGTACACACCATGCGCCTCTTCCAGAAGTGTGTATTTGAAGCTTGGTTGAAGGACGAACATATCGTGTTGCCATTGTACTTTTGGTCTTGGAACACCGGTGCAATGCACTTCAATGCCCAAAACGTCATCGTTTAGATGGTAATAGTCTAGAATAAAATATTTATAGCAACAACTGTTAGTAGTGGTTCATGACTTTCTATGAGTTTTATATTACCTCGTGCAGTAATGAACGTTGGTGGAGTTGGGTCATCCTTCATGATTTCATAGACGGTGACAATGGCCGATGTTGCCGCTTCGCCGTTTTGATTGGTCAGCGAACATGTGTATTCGCCCGAATCGCTAGCTGTTGCACGTAAAATCTCCAAACTGAGAATTCCTTCATTGACCAGAATACGTGTTCTGAGTGTTTTCTCAACGGGATTTCCATCTTTCAACCAACGAATATTTAATTCCGGACCGCTGGCTGTACATGTCAATTTAACATTATTTCCTTCGGATATTGTAACATCTCTTATGTGTGAATGAATACGTGGAATTCGAGCTTGTTCACGAGCTCGCTGGAATGCGAAGAATCGTTCGCGTTCCGTCATTTTTTTGAATTCTTCCTTCTGATATTTGGATCGGATAATTCCTTGTTCGACTTCATCCAATTTCGACCACAAACCTTCCTCTTCTGGATTCGGTTTATAGAAATCGTCTACCGATGATGCATTAGACGCTCGACGTCCATCGTTTTCTTCACCTTGCTCCTCTTCGCCGAGCTCTAATGTTCCCAGAAAGAACACATTTTATGAATATTTTCACTTTCTTTATTATTCACATATTCAATAACATTAAATCATCTACTACCTTCATCTTCCTGTTCTTCTCCGTCACCCTCACCATCCGATCCAGAACCGGAACCGGAACCAGAGCCTGAATGTTCGTCGCCCTCATCATCACTTCCTGAAAGTACAACGGAAACGTGATTTATTGCCCTTTTTTCTATGAACGAATCTTTCCATAAATGCCATTCATTTCGTATCATTCAAAGAGCTTGGTTTCATTATGATTCACTTAAAAGTGTGCGCATATGCAATCTTATTAAAGATCGTTCAGAGTTTTTTTTTCAATCGAGGTGAAATAATATTGAAGGGAATTAATACCTCGTTCCGATCCATCCTCTTGATCTTCTCTATCTTCATCCTCCTCCTCTTCTGCTGCTGCAGCTGCTTCAGCTGCAGCTTTTTCTTCAGCGGCCTGAACTTTCTTTGCGTCCTGTTCGGCCTTCATTTTTTTCATTTTTTCTTCGATTTGCTTTTTCTGCTCTTCGGCTTCCTTCATCTTGCTCTCTTCGGCTTTCATTGCAGCCAAAGCACCAGTCAATTTTCCACCTGCCTTTTTCTTTGGTGGTGGTTTGTCTAAAAATATTACCGTAGTTGTAAGTCTCATTATTATTCACACGAGGCATATTTAAATGATAAGTTATATCAAAGTATCATACATATTCACTTCAAAACTAATTTTTATCACTTTCTCACCTAATGGCTTTTCTTCGGCCGCCTTTTCGAACATTTTGGCTTTGTTCACTTTTGGTTTGGAGTCTCCCAGATCCAATTTCAATTTTGGTGGCGATGGTTCTTTTTCTTTTTTCTCCTTCTTTTTGACGACTTTCTTGGCGGCTTTTTTTGTTTTTTTCTTCTTTTCGCCCGCAGGTGCTCCTCCTTCATCGTCCGAGCCAGCGGTAAGATCAGCAGATCTTTCTCTATCTTCACTCGGCTAAAACGAAAGTAGTTCACACAATTGAGAATGTACTATTTACACAAAAATTTAACTGAACACATAATCGAGAAAATAAGAAATGCAAGTGAGAATCAAGACAAATCACATAAATCGAATCGCCAATCAACTAATCGACATTTTTCAAATAATTTCGGTCTTTTCTCTTTCAGTGTGCAGATTTAGGAAGAAAAACTACGTTTGATTTTCATATTTCCCATATTATTGTTCGCACTTACTGCATGTGATTCATTTACAGAAGCAGGTGATTCGGATTCGCGATAATCCGATTCTTCCAATTCGTCATCATCTTCAACGTAAATGATTTCCACATTTGATAAATCCATAACGGCCGCTCTGTCGATTACCGAGTGCTCCGATAAGATGAACTTTGCTGGTCGCTCTTCTTCCAATGAAATATCCATGACTAAGGCTTTATCGATGATAGCCTGGTATGAAGCCAACTGTTGCAAAATATTTGCTCCGATTTCGAATGGAGTTTTCTCCTTTTCTTCACGTGAAATGAATGGCGTAATGCTTCGCCACACCGTTGGTGTGGCACTTTTTTCACGGAAAAGTTGATATGGAGTCACACTACGTCCTCGAATCGGGGTTTGACTGCGTCCACGCAGACCTGGCGACGGTGATCGCATTCGAATTATTCGCTTTTCGACTGCGGGCACATGAAGTGATGATGGTGTCGTTTCTCGTTTTTCTAAAACTTCAGCCATTTTTGCCGATCAATGTTTGCAAATCAATGTCGATTTCGTTGAGTTGTGGTCGTTTTTTTCTTTTCTTCTTCAATTTCGTTCAGTAATTGTTCACAGAAAAGATAACAAAACAAACAATAATGTCTCGAAATGGTTCTCTCGGTGTGTCGAAGTGTAATTTAAAAGTGGTCACTTTCAGCGAACAGAAAAAAAACCAAATAAGTGAATTTGAATCGGTTCTCTTGTTTTTCGTTATTCGTCCATTCGATACTAAATCAATCACACGACTGACTGTACCGATCGATTTGGTGAACTCAAGTAATATTAGCTGTGTCTACTAAACCAGATTTAAACACTAATACCTACTTGAATTGCGTGCTGGTGTCACATACATATGATTTGTTCACGTGTGATTAGAAGCATGCAACCACAAAGAAAGAAAATCAAAATTCAACGTGAGCAAATATATATTGGAATTAATGCGAGCAAATTGAATTGATGTATTTAAACATTGTAATCACCTGACAAGCGATTTATTTGCATACTCGAAGATTGATAGTTCTTCGTTGCTGTGACATCTTACGTGTACATAGATAGTCTCCTAGTTTCACATTGGATCTGTTCAAAACGATAACATTTTTCGTTTGCATTTGAATGTCATGCCAAAACAAATGCATCGAATTGAACGAAAAAGAAAAACAAATGAATGCATTCGATTCGAATGCGATCGATGAGTGTACACTGCACAATCATACATATTTGATCTAAATTTAGACAAAGAACTAGCAAAATTGAAATGCGAAAATCTTCACCGTTTCGATCACTGTCGACTTCGATATATGTTGCCATTGTACTTGTAACAGTTTTTTACTCGCTGATATGAAATGTTCTAAATACGATTGAATGTCTAGTTTAAAAAACACCCGCAATCGAATGTCATCGCACGAAAAGAACAAAGAGACTTGAGAATTTGAGATGACGATGTATGGGTTGCCGATCTAAATTTATTTTTCGGGTCAAAGTTAAATTTCAATTCAGCATGCACATTATAAAAATTCAATTAGTTAGATCAAGCGAATGACGCACAAAATATCAGTAGCTTTTTTATCGAAGATGTATTGCATGCAAAAAAGGACGGGTTAAACTTTCCCCACACTTAGATTTGATATAAAATTATTAAAATTATTGTCACAGAAATTAAAAAAGCAAAACAAAACGATATTATTCTTCTAAAATATTTAAGATTTGAAACTTAACCCGCCCTTTTCTCGATAGACAGTTCCAGTTAGAGATAAATAATAAATAATAAAAGTTTACAAAGTATGTGCAATTTCACTCGAGATATTTTGCTGCATATATTGTGGTGATGCCGTTCAATAGTCCTGATATTCCACATTTGAAGAGCCACTTCAAAGAATGAATGGAACCATGCAAAAATTACCTTTGATTTTACTTAAAGTGACGGACGATTGCGGTGCAGTTTTTGCTGATGCTTTTAGGTAATTTTGTTCATCCTTTTTCGCTTTTCGTTTCAATTGCTCATTCGTTTTCGACGACCCATCATCATGGATTTTGATGTCACACATTGATTCAGTCTGTCCAGCTGCGTTCATTACGACACATTTGTATTCACCACTGTCTTCTTTTTCTATATTCAAAATACTCAAGTATGCAAATCCTTCAGACTCGCTAATTTTATATTTAGTTCCATCGGCTCGAATATCATATCTGTTGTGTTGCCATTTGGTAGTCGGCCATTGATTGATTTGGTGATCGGTGAAGCTACACATTAGCTGAACATTCGATCCTAAGTCAGCCGTTTGGCTACGTAGTCGGGTTTCAATGAATGGTCTTCGTATTGTTTTCACATGTGATTCAACTTTGGTCTGCTCTTCAATCGGCTCTACTTGGCTTTGGGCTGATTTCGCGGAGTTCCGTCTTCGCTCTCTCTTTGGCGGTTCAAAAATCTCCTCTGGTGGCTCGAACACTGTGATTATTGCATTTGATTCACATTCACCGTGTGAATTCGATAGAATACACGTATATTGTCCGGCATCTGTTGAGTTTACACCATTTATACGTAAGCTGGTGATCCCATCTTGTGCGGTGTTGATGAGTAATTTATCACTTGGTTTCAGCAATGCACCATTTTTAAGCCATTGAACGCGGACTTTTATACCAGTGTAGCTGCATGTCAGCTTTGTAGATGATCCGTATGATACATTACGATTTGTTAATTGACTTTCAAATATTGGTCGCTCAATAATAGGTGGCTTTTTTCGTGTTCTTGACGTTGGTGTTGGTATTTGCTGATTTTCCTGCAGGTCTGACTTGCTCAGCGCTTCTTCATCGCCGAACTTGTTGTTTTCAATGCCTTCTCTTGCCAAATCAACCGAGTTTTTGGACATTTTGCCTGAACTAATTGTCGCCTTTTCGCTTTCGATTTGATCCAGAGTGGCCTTTTCATCAATATTTTGTGCGTATGCTACATCAAATCGTTTCAATCCTTCTTCGCTTGGGGAAGAAGGCACATCTTCATTGGTCAATGTTGTAGTGGCTTCTTTACTTTCCTTTCTAAGTGACATTCGGCTCTTTTTCTCCTTTTCACTGCTCAATTTTCGTTCGAGTTTCTTACATTCCTTCGAATCACTTTGGCCATTTTCGGGTATGAACGAATGCTTATTTGTATCAATTTTATTTATTTCGATTTGTCCCGTTGTTTGATCTTCGTTAATTTGTAGTTTTTCCGATAAGACTTCAGTCTGTGGTTTTGGCTCTTCAATCTTGGTTTCATTATGACTTTGCTCAGCCTGAAGTGTTTTATGGTCTTTCGACTCTTTGGGTGGTGATCCCTCATCAGACCGAGACGATCTCCTTCGATTTTTCTTTTTATCATCACTCAATTTACGCTCTGATTTTTTCTTTTTCTTTTGAGATTCATCAGGTTTGCTTTCGACCGGTTTTTCAATTTCACCCTTTTCAACTTCTGTTGATTTGTCACCACTGAAAACTACCACTTGATCTGGTTCTGATATGCAAGTCTCATTTTCTTTAGCTGTTTGAGATGCAATACCATCTATTGATATTTTTTCAGCTTTGGTTTCAATATGATTTTCTGTTTGTTCTTTGACATGTTGAGACTCAACGGCATCCTTTGATGACTTTGCTTTTTCCACTAATGTATCTTTTTCGGTTTTTTTCTCGTCAATTGTTGACTTTTCACGCTTTGATTTTCGGTCTTCTATCGAAGGTTTTCGTGATTTCATCTGTTTTGGTTCACGGTCATCCAGTTGTTTGTCTGGAATTGAAGTTTTTTCAATTTCAATTTGTGCAGAGTCGGTTGTTTTGGAATCTATAGCTTCTGGTTCTTTTTCGAATGCTATAGTGTTGACCTGCGTCCTGTCATCTTCAACATTTTCTTTTTGCCATTCTTCAGTAGTTTGAGTGTGTTCGTTGGGTGATTTCTTTTTATCAGACTTATTATCATCATTGGTTGACTCAACTGCGGCTACGATCGGCATTTCACTCAATTTCTTTTCATCCTCTTCACTTTCTTTGGGTGGCGATCCTTCAACAGACCGAGTTGATTTCTTTCGCCTTTCCTTTTTATCATCGCTTAGTTTGCGTTCCGGTTTCTTTACTTCTGAAACTTCCTTTGTATCTGTAGTATCTTGTTGTTTGGTATCCTTTGAGACTTTCTCTTTTTTTATTTTGATATCTTCTTTAATGTCGACTTGTTCCTCACTAGGTGCTACTTGATCGATGCCACTCATCTTTTTCTTATCATTTCCAACACTGTCGACCTGCGGAATACTTTCTTCACTTTGTTCGGATGTCTGCGGCTCTTCCGTTGATTCGTTGCTAGTTAAATTTTCTGCATTTTCTTGATTGGCTGTTGTGGCAATTTTTTCTATTCCCAAACTCTTGAAAGACTTACGTCTGGATATAACATCTGGTTTTTGATCGCTTTTCTCGGGCTTCAATTCAGCTGGTGTGCTTGTTTTTTGTTCTTCCATTTCTTTTGGAATAGCCGTTTCAATCGAAGTTTCTGTTTGCTTAGTTTCAGATGGATCGTTCGTCAGATGTTCATAAGTCTTCTTTTCAGTTAACTTAGACTCCATACTGTCAAACGTATCCAAGTTTTCAGTCGTTTCGGATTGAAGCGTTTTTCGTTTCTTTCCGTCTTTTGATCGTTTAGGTTTTTCTGGGATGCTGTCACTGGCTTCACTTGTACCTTCATTCTTACTCAATTCATTGATATCACTCTTCCTCTCCTCTTCTGGAGATTTTTTCGAAGCCCTCTTTGGAAGCATTGGTTTTTCTTCTGACTGCGATTGACAAACTGGAACGATATCCACTCCAACTTTGTTAAAGTCCTGTAAGTTTTTTTCTGAAGTACCAATATTGCATGTTTCTGTACTTGCAGTAGAAGGAATCAAGTCAGACGATGAAATGATTGATTGGGTTTCCTCTGATTCACTGCCTTTTTGAACATTTAATTCCAAATCTGCTGAAAGTGCCTTTTCACCCTTTGTCTTGCGCTGTGGTCGTTCAGGTGCCACTTCTATTATGTCTTGATCTGCTTGCTCATCCGATTTTATATTTGTGACCCCTAGACGGTCATCAAATAGCATGACATCTTCTATTGTGTCAACAATTTCTGGAGTCATACCACTCAATACACCAAGCAGTACATTCAAATTTTTCAAGTTTACTAATAGCTCAGATATATTTTTCACAGCCTTCAGCTTTTGCAGAGTATGGTCAGACTTCAAATCTCTACGAAGATTACCACAAAACGTGTTAAGCTCTTTTACAGACAACAAGATTTGTTGAATTTCATACGAAGCATTGCCCTTGGAATTAACTGCAACAAGATTCTTTACTAGAGGCTTAGTGTCCGAGATATATAAAGTAAAATTGGTGACAAAATTTGACTGTAGTAATACATCGCCAGTGCTGACGTCATTCGCACACTTTTTGAGTCGCTTAATTATTGGTATGATATTCAACAGAATATCTTTATCACAAGAATTTAGGAGTATACAGCAACTCTTGGGTAAATTGTACACCAAATCAATGCAGGATGATATACATTCCACCACACTAGCAATGGAATTTTGCATATGCTTCTCGAACAAAATATCTTCTTCAGATAATTCATTTTGCCTCCTCTGTTTCTCTTCTCCGACAAAAGCGACTTGTTCCCTACTAGCTTGTGAGAGTTCGTCTTCCTTGGAGATTTCAGCAGTTACGCTCAATTCCTCTTTGGCCAATTGTTCGACACCCTCAGAAGTCTCAGCCACGCCTTCGATTTCGGCCTGTTTCAATTGTTGGACTTG